TAGTCCGTTGTTTACGTGCCTCCCAGCTAATGGGAGCACCGGCTAAAATAAATGCAAAACCAGAATAAGATCTACGATCCACTGTATTTCCACCCCAGTCTGCATCAACCACTCCAAACAAAGGTAAGCCTGTCCTCTCATACACCAATCCATTATCTGATGTACCTTTTAAATATCTTAACACACGTTTAGCAGCCTTCCAATGTTCCATATCATAACTAGTATTGAATTGGCTTAAATAATTCACTGCAAAAGCAATATCAGGCCTGGTTGATACAGCAAGGTGCATTAAGGCACCTATTAAACTTTGATATGGATATTGTTCCATTATTTCATGTTTTACACACTTACTTTTTTCTAATTTAACATTAACATCCAGAGGCGTGATGGCAGATTTACATGCACTTGTGAGAAAATGTATTAAAATATTAAAATAATATATAAGAAAAGGTAGATTTATATACATATTATACATATTTAGAATAAAACAATTCATTAAAACATCTAATAACATTTTATTTACTGGACATGTTATAATTTTACAAAATATCGTCTTTCGTAAAGGGAAGCTATACAATATAATATACTTATCTCGTCTATATAGTCTTTCGGTAATTGTTTCTTCAAGAGTCACTGTTCAATAGTTTCACTATAACACAGGGTTTCAATTGAAGTTCTGGCCCAGGCTGCTGTCCGATGTCAAGTCCCTTGCCTCGGCGAAGAGCAATGTTTTATAGGTCCTCCGAACACCACACGATATTCAAGATATTTACTTTTTAATTGTAACAAAATATATATTGAAAATATAAATCCCAGACTTTTGAATCTTATATATAATGAAAACATAACTCTTAAATAATATAAAATATTTTAGTACATAATATTTAGAAAGCGGGTTCCAATTTAACAGTATATTAAACACATATTTGACATGCTACCGCTTTTGTACCTAAGTCTTATTCTTACTTTTTAATAATAATTCCTTAATTATAAATGAAATAATATTCTAAATACAATAAAATATTATTTTAAAGATTTAACAGTTTTTAAACAAAGCTGACTCCAATATAATTATATAATAATATAGCGTATTAGACATTCGTTTGACAAATAATTGACGACAACACTTTTGTAAGTCAAATTTTAACTATTCGATTATTTAAACTGTAAATAACAAGATATATATTTAAATACAAATAATATATTTAATAAACATTGTATAATTATAGAACATATATCCTTATACGGCCATACTGACATGTACTTCGTTCTCGAAGTACAATTAAACTCTCAACTCATTTATTTTCAACATACAAAAACAAATTTTGTATCTACTATTATATCAACTGGATGACAATTCTTTATATTAACTGCAATCTTTGGGCTACATATGAAACTTATCTATTAACAGTTCTTAATCGTTATATAATAAGCAACAATATAATCTGTAATGAACATGGTATATTCAATAACAAGTTATCCTTACTTTGCCCAACCATACACCCGCTGTCGGTGAAGCTAAATCACCCGCAGTCAGTGAATGCTGAACAACGGTTAAGTCATCTATCTCAAGTCAAGTCAATTATTCAAGTCAAGTCAAGTCCATTATCATATAATTCAGTTTTTTTTTTCTTTTTCTTTTTTTTTTTACTCTAATCACCTTAGGTGATCTTTTCTCATAATCACACCTTACTTTGAACGACCAAACACCCGCAGTCGGTGAATCTGAATCACCCGCAGTCAGTGAATGTTGAACAACAGTAAAGGCGTCCATCTCAATATTATCATAAACTCACATCACCTTAAGTGATCCTCTTTAATAATCTCACCTTACTTTGCACGACCAAACACCCGCAGTCGGTGAATCTGAATCACCCGCAGTCAGTGAATGTTGAACAACAGTAAAGGCGTCCATCTCAATATTATCATAAACTCACATCACCTTAAGTGATCCTCTTTAATAATCTCACCTTACTTTGCACGACCAAACACCCGCAGTCGGTGAATCTGAATCACCCACAGTCAGTGAATGTTGAACAACAGTAAAGGCGTCCATCTCAATATTATCATAAACTCACATCACCTTAAGTGATCCTCTTTAATAATCTCACCTTACTTTGCACGACCAAACACCCGCAGTCGGTGAATCTGAATCACCCGCAGTCAGTGAATGTTGAACAACAGTAAAGGCGTCCATCTCAATATTATCATAAACTCACATCACGTTAAGTGATCCTCTTTAATAATCTCACCTTACTTTGCACGACCAAACACCCGCAGTCGGTGAATCTGAATCACCCGCAGTCAGTGAATGTTGAACAACAGTAAAGGCGTCCATCTCAATATTATCATAAACTCACATCACCTTAAGTGATCCTCTTTAATAATCTCACCTTACTTTGCACGACCAAACACCCGCAGTCGGTGAATCTGAATCACCCGCAGTCAGTGAATGTTGAACAACAGTAAAGGCGTCCATCTCAATATTATCATAAACTCACATCACGTTAAGTGATCCTCTTTAATAATCTCACCTTACTTTGCACGACCAAACACCCGCAGTCGGTGAATCTGAATCACCCGCAGTCAGTGAATGTTGAACAACAGTAAAGGCGTCCATCTCAATATTATCATAAACTCACATCACGTTAAGTGATCCTCTTTAATAATCTCACCTTACTTTGCACGACCAAACACCCGCAGTCGGTGAATCTGAATCACCCGCAGTCAGTGAATGTTGAACAACAGTAAAGGCGTCCATCTCAATATTATCATAAACTCACATCACCTTAAGTGATCCTCTTTAATAATCTCACCTTACTTTGCACGACCAAACACCCGCAGTCGGTAAATCTGAATCACCCGCAGTCAGTGAATGTCGGCAACAGCTAAGGCGTCACAGTATTATTACTCCAAATACTCACAAAGCTAGTAAGTCATCCTCCAAAGCAGAGTTTTGTTCCACCCATTCACCAGCCATACCTGAAGTTCTTCTTAAGCAACTACAATATTTCTTAAGTTGCCAATGCCTCCTAATGAGAATCTGCAACTGTCTAATTTACCCGTTACTACATAAGTATACCTACCCGTTACTAAATAATTATACCCGTTAGGCCGTTACTACATATTCTGTTCCTAAGGACATGATCAAAACGCTCCTAGAATTTATCAACCACAATTTTATGACGTTATTGAGCTATGTTTTATAACGATAAGTTATATAGGAAAACACTTGTAATGCTCGTTACAACGGTTACAATACCCGATATACTTAAACGGGCGGTATTTATACAAAAACTTCTTTGTCATCAGCCTATCGGAGCCCACTGCTGAGCAAGGCCTCTTTCTCACATGGAGAAGGTTTCAGCATTAATCAAAACTTCTTTACCTCATTTAATATTAAATTTGCAAATTTAAAAGATAATATTAACATTGTTTATCTTAATTATTCTAATGATTATTTATGGACAAATATTATTTAATAATACAGGATTATGTAACATTAAATATTAAAGATTAATATATTACACCAGAAGTTGATAAGCAGCAGATAACCTAGCCAGATCAGTAAAATAAGATTCTAGTAGCTTAATCCTTACATTATACATAATAAAACAAAACTATTATAGCATTGATTAATAGACATAATTTGAGAAAATATAAAGTTTCTTTCAGCTGTTACATCTACAATTTCAATTTAATTATTATTTATCACTTTGTCCAGTCGATTCTATATGGCACGAATATTAGAGATTCTACCGATACCGATTTTAAGAGTTTTTGTAATTTTGGATAATTGAACTTTCCACAAACCGCTCGGCCAGTCTGACACATCAGTAAAAAAAAATGTATTAATCCTATTTGTAATCGTTAAGATATATTGCTTTACCTGACCATTATACCGTGACGTGAGGGTAGACATATGGTGTCTAGCTTGCCATTCGTTAAATAACTCTTACATTGGTGTCTGCTTCCTTTCCAAAGTGTGGCAGAGCGACATCATTATGCCGCTGACTTACTGAAATTGCATCGCTGATGATCTTCGACAGACCTTCCAGTAGTGTATTCGATTCCATAAATCTGAAAACAAGTTATAAGTTATTTAATCTATAAATAAATTGTTAATTAGATTGGGCGAAGAAATTTTGTGATCCCACTTCTGATGTTAGAAAATATATTAAAATATTGAAATAATACATAAGAAAAGGTAGATTTATATACATATTATACATATTTAGAATAAAACAATTCATTAAAACATCTAATAACATTTTATTTACTGGACATGTTATAATTTTACAAAATATCGTCTTTCGTAAAGGGAAGCTATACAATATAATATACTTATCTCGTCTATATAGTCTTTCGGTAATTGTTTCTTCAAGAGTCACTGTTCAATAGTTTCACTATAACCACGGGGTTTCAATTGAAGTTCTGGTCCAGGCTGCTGTCCGATGTCAAGTCCCTTGCCTCGGCGAAGAGCAATGTTTTATAGGTCCTCCGAACACCACACGATATTCAAGATATTTACTTTTTAATTGTAACAAAATATATATTGAAAATATAAATCCCAGACTTTTGAATCTTATATATAATGAAAACATAACTCTTAAATAATATAAAATATTTTAGTACATAATATTTAGAAAGCGGGTTCCAATTTAACAGTATATTAAACACATATTTGACATGCTACCGCTTTTGTACCTAAGTCTTATTCTTACTTTTTAATAATAATTCCTTAATTATAAATGAAATAATATTCTAAATACAATAAAATATTATTTTAAAGATTTAACAGTTTTTAAACAAAGCTGACTCCAATATAATTATATAATAATATAGCGTATTAGACATTCGTTTGACAAATAATTGACGACAACACTTTTGTAAGTCAAATCTTAACTATTCGATTATTTAAACTGTAAATAACAAGCTTTATATATATAAATACAAATAATATATTTAATAAACATTGTATAATTATAGAACATATATCCTTATACACTCATACCAAACCGCTCTAATAGTTTATTCACATTCAATTTCTGATTTAAATACACTCTGTTTTCATTATCACGACTAAATTCTATACCTAAACAATTACTTATTTTACCCATATCTTTCATTTCAAATGCTGATGACAAACTTTTCTTTATATCACACATCCAATTAATATCATCCGTCGCTAAAATAATATCATCTACATATATACCAATTAACATGATTCGCTCACCCTTTTGTGCAACAAACACACACGGATCCTGCTGCAACCCTTCAAAACCACAATCCACTAATTTTCTCACTAGTTCTTTATGCCACTGCAATCCAGACTGACGCAAACCATACAGAGACTTTTTCAACAAACATACACTATTAACACATTCATTCAAAGCTTCATTCCAACTTTTAGCTGTCTTCAGTATATTCTTCTCTGTCACTGTTCTTTGCTGTGATCCAACTTTTTCATTCGCGAGTACTCTCTGTAATACATCGCTGAGTTGGTCAGGCACCTCCATGTAAACCTCTTCTTCAAGTGAACCATTCAGGTAAGCTGTTACAACGTCCATCTGGTGGATCTCTAGTCCTAGTTCAGCTGACAAAGCAGCAATGAGTCTTATTGATGAAGTCCTTTCTACAGGCGACGAAGTTTCATGAAAATCCTCCCCTGGTCGTTGGGAACATCCTTTTGCGACAAGACGTACTTTCTTGCCTGTACTTTTAGTACTAAGAACAAGTCGACTTCCAATAACTTTTCTCTGTTTCGGTCGTGGTACAATTTCCCATGTTTTATTTTTTAGTTTTGCTAGGATCTCATATTCAAGGGCAATTTGCCATGCTTTTAAGTCATCACTATTTTCTATTTCATCCCATGTCATTGGTTCTATCGTTGCTATTCCTGCACTTAATTGTTCTTCTCTATCTTCAGATTCATTCTCTCTATCGCTATTTTCTTGAAATAAATTATAAATTTTTCGTGGTCTGCCCGCCATGCCAGTACGGATTAGGCGAGGCCTTCCTCTTCCTCTTTGAGGGGGTTCTATTAATTCTTCCCATGAAACAGTTGCGATTCTTTTTCTATCAACATGTCTTCTATTTCTATCAAAATCTGATTCGTCTACTCTTTCAAGTGACCTTGTAGTTCTAACTCTATTTCTCTTTACTCTTAGTATTTTTTGATCTTCACTCTTCGTACTATTATCTGAAACAGGCTCATTCAATTCTATATTCATTTGTTCACTATCTATACTTTCTTCTTCATCAAGTATCTCTTTGTATTCATGTTTAAAAAATACTTCATTCGAGAACTTCACATCTCGAGTAATAACAATTTTTCTTGTTGTAGGGTCATGTATTCTATAGGCTTTGGATTGACTATCATAACCCACAAAAATTCCTGACTGTGAACTTGATTCAAATTTCCCTCTCTGCTTTCCTTTATCCTTATAATATACTTTAGATCCGAATATATTCATGAATATTACAGTAGGTTTCTTTCCTTTCCATATTGTAAATGGTATCTCACCGTTTAAGGCAGTAGTTGGACACCGATTCCTAATGTAATTAGCAGTATTAATTGCTTCTGCCCAAAACGCTGGAGGGCTTCCGGCTTGACGCATCATGCATCGTGCCATTTCAACCAATGTTCGGTTTTTCCTCTCAGCAATCCCATTTTGTTGGGGCGTATAAGGCGCTGTCAGTCTTCTTCTAATACCTTCTTTCTTCAAAAAATCATCGAATTCGTTATTCACGTATTCACGGCCGTTATCAGACTGAAGATTCTTTATCTTATTACCAGTTAATTTCTCAGCATAGGCCTTAAATGTTTTGAAAACATTGAAAACATCACTTTTATTGGCTATAAAGTAGACTTCACACCATCTCGATTTGTCATCGATGAATGTGACAAAATATTTCTTACCGCCGTAAGACTTAGTCTTCATCGGACCACAAACGTCGCTATGCACGATTTCTAATAACTCGGTGGCACGCTGTCCGCTTGACTTTGGAAAAGGGACACATGCCAGTTTTTCACTTGCACATATATCACATTCAGACAATTTTTCATGATCATTAAATGTTAAGCCATATACTAGACCACTTTTCGACATAGCCTTCAAGTCACGCTCATTGAGATGTCCAAGACGTTGATGCCAAATATCTATAGATTTTTTCTTATTTTCAACGTTACTCGCAGTATTCTGACTCATACGCACATGATATAAATTCCCAACACGATCTGCACGCAAATGAATCTTTCCATTTTCGTCACATACAGTTGCATTATTTTTCTTAAAATGAACCTCGTACCTGCGATCTGTCATTTTCGCTACTGATAATAAATTGGTTCGTAAATCCGATACGTAGAATACTTTTTGTAAATTAATTTGGCGTTCTTCACTGCCCGTATCTACTGAAATGCTCACTTTACCCGTGCCGGTTATTTGCGTTCTCTCACTATTAGCCAAATTCAATTCAGAGTTTAATTGTGTAAAATCCTCGATCATTTGTTTTTCATTGCACATATGACCCGTGCAACCGCTATCAATGCACCAAATAGGATTTATTTGCTCACCAAGTAATACATCTTCTGTAGTACTCAATAACATCGTTGTCTTACGCTCATTATCGCCATCGCGTTCTACTTGCTGTGCACTCTTCTTATGCTTGCCCGTATATTTGACCTTGCAATCTCTCGCGATATGTCCACGCCGACCACACCTATAGCATTCAACATACGCTTTACGGCCATGGTTATCACAATTCTTCTTCAGATGAGTGTTTTTGTTAATACGTTTGACGAACATAGCACCCTGGTCTACCGTTTGGGATTTACGACCTTCGAAGTCTTCAATAATTTTCACCTTTAACGATTCAGTTGAGGGTAAATCGTCGCGTGATTCTATTGCCGTCCGGAACATAGCAAACGAATCTGGCAAACTGTATAATAATAAAATGGCTAAAAGTTCGTCTATAACTATCAAACCGATTTCTCTCAGCTTCTTGACAGCCTCGAAAAAATCTGCGATATGCTTCTTAAGGTCATCATCTTCTTTCATTCGCGTTAACACCAGTTTCTTCAACAATGATGCTTTTCTCGCCGGCCCGCTTGACTGATACATGGATTTCAATTTATCCCAAATAGCTCGAGAACTTTCTAAACCGTCCAATGCAGCCAACTCGCTCGAACTGACCGCTAATAAAATATCTGATTCCGCTTTGCCGTCCATTTTAAGCCATTCTGTATACTTGGGGTCACTCGGTGGAGGTTTTAAGATGGCACCCGATACATATTCCCATAAATCATTCTTTTTCAGAATAGCTCGCATATGTATCTTCCAAGTATCGTAATTATCACCAGTCAGTTGGTCAATTTTAATAGATGCAGCCATATTTATAAGCTTCTTCAACTTTATAAATGTTTAAACACCACAACAATAACTAATGTCTTTTTAAACCGGTCGACACAGTAATTAGCACAAAGGAAACGTTATCTTTACTTGCGGGGACTCGATGACGACGCGTTTATAACTTTGTTTACGACGAAACTAATATTAGTGTCCAATCACTTCGAATATAGTCTTTTATGCACAAAATCAATTGTTATTCACTTCCTGGGCCCATAACCTGTTGGATTATGAATGAATAGACGATATATACGCGGATATAATTATATTTAAGCCAGAAAGATATTACAATGATATTCAGGCGAACGCGTGTTGACAACTGAACTGAATAAATCGTTTTTTACATATTATATGCCGGGCGGCACTACTCACACACTTCGTACTATCTCAACACATAGTACTGATCCCAACAGACAAGATAACAAATATTGGAAATCACAGATAGAAAGAACTTAAGCACTCTGTGATAGTTCAAACAATCATTAGTATATTTTAGCCCATAGTTTTCTTTTAAATAAAGCCTAATTACACTTCATTTTCCTTTATTAAGGCACAGTTCACAATACACTTAAATTATAAATAAAATTACAAAAACATACACCAATGAAGCTGCCACAAATTAAAATATACAAACAAATACTATAGTTATAAAAATCAACGACACGTTGCTATGTTACTTACGGAAATGGAATACATATTAAGTAATAAACTAGGAAAATTTATTTTTGGGTTTCGAACAACATTTTTTAAATAATTGTAAGGAAACATTAAACATATCAATATGACTAAAACCTTCATTAGATTTTACGCAAACTCTATTGATAAATGAGTTTTGAGCGTAACATGTTTAAACTGTAATTCATCGGGTGGCTATTTTTCGAGGGCATTTGATATTAATTTTGCTTGTAAGGTAAATTGTGTCAATTCTATTGTTTAAAATCTTAAGTAAAAATATTTGGTCACGAAAATCACGTATTTTTTAAGTTAATATTGTCTATACGAATTTGTTGACATGGATTCCATACAGTAGATGAATATTCCAGAATAGGTGGAATCAAAGAGTGAAATAATAATAAAATTGTTTCAGGTTTTTCAAATTCTTTACTTACTCTAAGAATAAATCCCAATAAATGATAAGACCTAGAAACAATATCATCTATGTGTTTATTGAATAGTAATTTAGAGTCAATAGTAATTCCCAAATCTCGTATATCCAAAACTCTGTTAATCGGGGTTTTATCTCACTGATAATTATAAATGATAGGGTTTATTTTGCGTGAAAACGTTATAATGTTACATTTCTCTATGCTTAAATATAAAGAGTTAAGCGCACAAAAATTTCTAATTGTAGGACTTTGCAATCGTTAATACTTTTTATAATTTTAAAAATTTTAGTGTCACCTGCATATAAAAAGATTTTTGAATCCTTGAAATTATTAATAACTAGTAGAGTTTTAATTTTCGATCAATTATAATATAAGTAGGATATTCGTAGTATATACAAGGAAATAAGAAAAATTTCAATATAAGTACAATTATATGTTAGTGAATCCTTTATGTACATACATATTCTCGCCCGCAATTTTGTCTACATATTAGATTCTTATATTCTTAAATTAAGTCTTAATAGATCGATGAGATCTTAAGCAACATATCACATACACAATATTTCCTTATTATCGTTAGTAAATTAATCAACTGTTAATAAATAAGTCCACTGTTAATAAATTAATCAACTGTTAATAAACTAATCCACTGATAATAAATTAATCAACTGTTAAAAAATAAATCAACTGTTAATAAATTAATCCACTGTTAATAAATTAATCCACTGTTAATAAATTAATCAACTGTTAATAAATTAATCCACTGTTAATAAATAAATCCACTGTTAATAAATTAATCAACTGTTAATAAATTAATCCACTGTTAATAAATTATTTAACTGTTAATAAATAAATCCACTGTCAATAAATAATTCAACTGTTAATAAATAAATTAACTATTGATTAATTAATCCACTGTTAATAAATAAATCCACTTTTAATAAATTATTATTCAACTGTTAATAAATAAATCCATTGTTAATAAACGAATCCACTGTTGAATCCTTTATGTACATATATTACATATTCTCGCCCGCCCGGAACACCTGATGTTACTAGTACAAACGATGAACAGAAACCTTTAATCGTAACTGCTTGACTTCTTTCACGCAAATAAGATTCAACCCATCTAAGAAGGCTACCATGTACACCGAATCTTGCTAATTCACTCAGCAATATTTTATGATTCATTTTATCAAATTCCTTCGAAAAGTCAGTGTACACTGCACCTACCTGAAAACCTGATTCCATTGCCCTGATAATTTTATCAGTAAATTCGTTTAAATTAGTTTCCGTCGACTTCTTGTTCATAAAACCATGTTGACTTACTTCGATACTTCCAGCCTTAATGTTCTGTTCGTAAATATCTGTACCCTTATTATTTATTTTACCCAAGATTTAAACAATGTTTTAATTTAATGAAATATATTATGTTTTTTATAGCCAAAAGTTAAATGCTAATCCATATACAATGTCTTTAATGTACTCGTATAATTTCCTGATTAATTATAATTGAAAGATTTTTAAAAATAAATGATTATTATACTTTCCTATATTTTTTTGTAATATTCTTGTTATAAGGAATTTATGACCAAAATAAACACTGTATTTTATCGAGTGACTGCGTAGATAGTCATTTAATAAATTTTTCGTTGTTTCAATACAAAAAATCAATACTTAATAGACCACTTTAAACCTAATCTCATTTATTTTTAATATAACAGGTTTTATATACTATTCACAAATTAACATTCTTTGTTATTATTTTACCTTGTAAGAATAAAAAGAATGAAATGTCGCTGTTTTCAAATGAATAACAGCATCAGTTATTCCAACTTATTATTATGACTAATAATAATGTTAATTATAGTTACTGGTCTTTGAAAAATTCTCATTAAACCGAGAAAGACAATTATGGAACAATATCAATTTAAGTTTTCTCGTTTATATTCTTTCCGTAATTTTTTTTAAGCGCAAATAACAAAATGCTGAATTAAATTAGGGTCAAACAAACATTTCGAAACATTACTCTTTCTTAAGAATAAACATATAAATATAAGCTACACGAGACAAATGTCATTTTGTTTTTCTAATTACTTATGTGAAATGTCTTATTTTTTTTTTTTTTTTCTTATTAATATAAATGTAAATCTTATTGACTTTTACTTGTTAATTTTTCAAATTCAAATAATAAAAAATATAGTTATAAAGTTTATATTTTCCGACAAGGTGACACAGTTGAACATTTCAATTGTATCTATCTTCAGCCATGTGAGGTCCACTGCTGGACATAGTCCTCCCTCATCGACATCCAAGCACTACGGTCGGGGGTGGCCTGCATCCACCGTGACCCCGCGGCCTTGACTAGGTTGTCCGTCCATCTCGTTATGGACGTCCAACACTGCGCTTTGCGAGCCGTGGTCTCCATTCGAGAACTTTTGGCCCCAACGGCCATCTGTTCTTCTGGCTATATGGCCTATCCATTACCACTTCAAAGAGCTAATCCGTGTGTATGTCGGTGACTCTCATTCTTCTACGTATCTCCTCATTTCTGATTCGATCCCGTAGAGAAACCCCGAGCATAGCTCTCTCCGTAGCTCTTTGACCGACTCTGAGTCTGTTTATGAGGCCTTTAGTGAAGCGCCACGTTTCGAATCCATAAGTCATCACTGGCAACACACACTGATTAAATACCTTCGTCTTAAGACACTGAGGTATTTTGGACGAAAAGACGTTACGTAACTTCCCAAACGCTGCCCATCCGAGATGGATCCGGCGATTGACCTCTTTCTCGAAGTGAGACCTTCCTAACTGAACTGTCTGTCCCAAGTATATGTACATATGTGTCAACAACTTCAAGTACCGAGTTCTCAACCATAATAGGGGTAGGTATATTTCAATTGTACTCGTATTTTATTATTGTAGCACTGTATTTTAGTATATAATTAGATATATAATAAACTAAACTAAATTTATAAGGAAGCAGTTACTTAATGATCAAAACACTTCATATTAAACACTTTGCCGTTAGCAGCTGTGAAATACTACATACAACTTGTTACTCCATAAATCATTCAAATGACTGACAAAACGAAGTTTGTCCGTGACAACATATTCTAGTTGAAGAGAAATCTTCATTTATCGTATATAAGAAAACATAATTAACCTACTATTCTGTATAATGTACAAAAAAAATACATAAATGTAGCCTTTCTCAAAACTCAGTACCTACCATAATTAAAATGATCAGATCAAAATATTTTTTATCTTTAAAGAAGATCGATAAATTCTATTTTTTTTATAAAATTCACTACAAACGGCGTCTATCCGCGTGTCAGTGCCAGTGTCTCATTCAATTTGTTCCTGACTGACCGAAACAATTCCTATTTATTTTTTAAAACACTGCATAACTTTTTCAATATTATTCTACATAAAATATTGATTGAAATAAAATAATATCTACATATAATAGTTATCAGTATACGCAACTTGTTCATTCATTGCTTCGTTTGTTTTAAATAAATAATCATACTTTTGTTTAATCAGTATTTCCAGAGTTTCGATCTCAACCCCAAGGGATGATTCTGATGAAATTAACCTGTATATCATAACCATAATTTCATTGAGATATGAATTTGATTGATACGAACTTCTCAGCATTTCATGGATTCACCGTGCGGTTGCCGGGTCCATCGTGAATAGTAATAGTTAATTATAAAAATGGAAGAAAATCTTTAAAAACTTTAAAAAATGCTTCTGAACAAGACTCTCAAGATTTTTTTAAATAGCTATTATACAGTTATGATAATACTATATGTATTAGCTATTGCAAAGCATTATTTGATTCATATTCCTCAACTACTTAAGTGAATCAAAGAT